GGGTTTCGAAGAGGTAGAGGAACTAGTGATCAAATTGCCAACATTTGCTGGATTATGGAGAAAGCAAGAGAGTACCAGAAAAACATCTACTTCTGCTTCATTGACTATGCTAAAGCCTTTGACTGTGTGGCTCACAACAAACTATGGGAGGTCCTTAAAGAGATGGGAGTACCAGTCCACCTCACATGACTCTTGAGAAACCTGTATAAGGGTCAAGAAGTTAGAACCGGATATGGAACAACTGATTGGTTTAGCATAGGAAAAGGAGTACGACAAGGATGTATTTAATATATATGCAGAGTACATAATGCGAAATGCTGGCCTGGATGAATCACAAGCAGGAATTAAGATTGCTGGGGAAAAGATCAACAACCTCAGATATGCAGTCGATACCACTCTAATGGCAGAAAATGAAAAGGACCTAAAGAGCCTCTTGCTCAGAGTGAAAGAGGAGAGCACAAAAGTGGGCTTGAAGCTCAACATCAAAAAACCTAAGATCATGGCATCTGGCCCCATCACTCCTTGGCAAATAGAAGGGGAAGCCGTGGAAGTAGTGACAGACTTCACGTTCCTGGGATCCCAGATGACCGCAGACTGTGACAGCAGCCATGAAATTAAAAGACACCTGCTCCTTGGGAGGAAAGCGATGGCGAACCTAAACAGCATGATAAAAAGTAGAGACATCACCCTGCCAACAAAAGTCCGCATGGTCAAAGCAATGGTATTCCCAGTAGTAATGTATGGCTGCGAGTATTCACGTTCCTGGGATCCCAAATCACCGCAGACTGTGACTGCAGCCATGAAATTAAAAGACGCCTGCTCCTTGGGAGGAAAGCGATGGCGAACCTAAACAGCATGATAAAAAGTAGAGACATCACCCTGCCAACAAAAGTCCGCATGGTCAAAGCAATGGTATTCCCAGTAGTAATGTATGGCTGCGAGTGTTAGACTATAAGGAAGGCCGAGCGCCGAAGAATAGATTCTTTTGAACTATGGTGCTGGAGAAGACTCTTGAGAGTCCCTTGGACTGCAAGAAGATCAAATCCATCAATCCTAAAACAAATCAACCCTGACTGTTCCCTGAAGCTCAAATACTTTGGCCACCAAATGAGAAGGGAGCACTCTCTGGAGAAGACCCTGATGCTGGGAAAGAGCGAAGATCAAAGAAGACGGGGTTAGACAGTGTCATAGATGCAACGAACATGAAATTGAGCAAACTTCAGAGGACGGCGGAAGACAGAAAGGCCTGGCGTGATCTGGTCCATGGGGTCGCGAAGAGTCGGACTCGACTGTGCGACTGAACAACAATGAAAAACATGCTTAATAGTTTCAGTTCTTTACCTAAGAAATATGTGGATTTCATATTTTATTGACAGTATAATGGCAATTTTTAATACCGACTTAAATTGTAAAGGCATATATATCCAGTTATACTTTTTTACTGATTGTATTATAATGTTATGTTTGTTTTAAATTGTTGTATGTTGTTGAAAAATAAAAAATTAGTTGTTTTTTTAAAAAAGTCAGACTTAGCACATTTACAGATTTACTCCTTTGAAGCTTATTTACACACCAGAATTACATTCGCTGCTTCTTAAGAGTTTTGCTGCAACAGAATTTCTGTGTGCTTAACTTTTGGGACACAGTTTCCGGTATGAACATTTGGCTCAAGGGTTGCAATTTGATCACTCACATGCCATTACAGAATCCAGTGAACCATTCTGCCAAAGCTGTTGTGTGCTACTGTGGTCAACTTTTGGCTGAATATGATGATCCAGATCTTGATAATTCATTGGAAGTTATCCAGTAGCAGGACTGCTAAAACTCATCTGTCTCTTTGAACTCTCACCCTTTGTTTTAAAGTGCAATGAGCTCCAATAGTGATGCACAGTTCAATTTGGCCTGGCCAAAGAAAGGGAATTTTTTATTCTCCCCTCCCCTTTTAAAGGACTGCCTGTTGTTTCTGATTCACTTGAGTAGTTGGATGATATTCTTCATTTCACATTTCATAGACATAAACTTCTATTGTAAACTTGCTTTAGAACAGAATATTTAGAAGGAGTAATAGAAAATTTGAAAGTGCATTTTATACATTGTTTGAAAACTTTGGATTGTGCATATTTTTGAGAGTCTTAAGAAGTTCACCTAGTAAGAGCTCAGGAAATAAATGCTCATCAGCTTTATTTTAGCTTTCTTGCCTGTTAGCACGGTGGCTCCCTACGTTTTTGCTCTGATGAGCAAAGCTGTTGCAGTGGAGCATAGTGACATAGGCAGTCCTGTAGGTATGTGGGTCCAAGCATTAAGGGCTTTAACCAGAACTTTGAATTAAACTCATTAAGTGATCAGTAACCAGTGAAGTGTCTGCAGAATGGATGGGACATGCATGTTCTGCCTAACACCTGGTAGGAACTAGCCTACAGCATTCTGCACGAACTGGAGTTTCCAAGTTGTCTTTAATGGCAGATACATGTAAAGTGCATTAGAGTAGTCTAGCCTTGAGGTAACCATAGCATGAATTCACATGGGTAAATCAGCTGAGTCAAGGTAGGGGTCCATCTACAGTGATTATTGTAGGTATTGCCTGCTTTTACGGCATTGTCCTATACCTTTGTAATCCACTTTCTGTGTGGTTTATAGTATACCTTGGTCCGCATTCTTCTCTAATTTTGTAATCCTAGTCCCATTGTATTGTTCACTGGTTGTTTTATGCTTCTGATTACACTGTTTTATACCCTGCCATAAGTCCTAGTGAGAAAGGCAGACTATCAGTAAAGTAAATAAATAGTTATACAAGAATGGAATAAAGCACTTTGTACTTTAAAGTTGATGTCAAACTTATCAGTAGTAACCAGTGTTCCCTCTAAGCTGAGTTAGTGTGAGCTAGCTCACAGTTTTTCAGCCTCCAGCTCACACATTTTTGTCTTGGATCAGGAAGGATGGTTCCAGAGGAAATTAATTTATGCAGTAGCCAAATCGCTGGCTCACAACTTTAATGCCAGTAGCTGACAAAGTAGAATTTTTGCTTATAAGAGTCTACAGTTTAGAGGGAGCATTGGTAATAACCATAGCCAGGGGGGGTTTTGTAGAAAAAGCCTAGCAGGAACTTATTAGCTTAATAGGCCACACCCAGCAACAGAAACTCATTAGCATATTAGGCCACACCCCATGTCTTCCCTTGACTTGCCTAGGCGCCCCGCGGCTGCGGGGAAGCCGGGCAAGCCAGCCCGTGGAGGGGAGGGGAAGCAGTTTAAACTGCCTTCCCTTGGCTTGCCCGGGCGCCCCACAGCTGCGGGGAGCCCAGGCAAGCCGGCCCTTGGACAGGCTGGGGAAGGCACAGGGAGGCATTTAAATGCTTCCCCGATCCTTCCAGGGGGGGCCCTGGCCTGCCCACCTTGGAGTCGCCGGAGGGGTCACTCTCCAGGCCTTCCTTCTGTAGTGGGTGTGGCCAACTCTGAAGCCAACCAGGAACTCCGTTCCTGTGCGTTCCTGCCCAAAAATAGCCCTGACCATAACACAGTCGTCTTCTCTTAGTTTTTAGGGGTTGCACTGGATGAATGGGTCTTAAAGCATTCTAAATTATCTTGGTTAGTTCTCTTTGCAAAATATTTGAAATGAACTTATCGAAATGTCCATGGTTGTGAACTGAAACTGCAATGTACTTTTTCTTAAGAGGTTCACATCTATGAAACTTTCACACCAAATACTTTATTAGCATACAGTTATTGTATCTTTTTATTGTAATATGCTGCTGTTACAACGAGGTCTGTTGAAAAACCTGAAACTTGCTGAACAGTAGTTCCCAGTTGTGATTATTAGCCATCATTTGTTGACAGAAAATTAACTGTATGAGTTTTTCTTAACAGCACTTGAAAGAGCTCACTGAAAATGTCTAGCAAAACCTCCGGCACAACAAACATAGCTCAGGCCAGAAGAACTGTTCAGCAGTTGAGAATAGAAGCATCTATAGAAAGAATAAAGGTAAGAACAAGACTCTCTCCCCCCCCCCTTGCAGTTAGTGACTTATTTGAAGGAGGGCAAACATTTTTACTTAATGCTGGTTTTAAAAAAGTTATTACTGCTAAAATACCTTTTCAAAGCATAGAGGTTAGAATACAGTTCTCAGTGTTGCAATCCATTTTCAGTCAATGCATGTTGCAACTTAAGCCCTTTGATTCCATGTAAAGTATTTAGATGTCTATATTGGGCAGCTATTCAGAGGATGTTACTTCACTTAGACACAGACAGCCAGGCTGTCATACTTTTGATGTACTGAAAATGTGTTTGTGTATGCATTTGTTATGATCAGTGTGAGCCAAACAGAGAATATGTAAACTAAGCAACTGGACTTCATTGAGAATATGCACAAATTAACAGCAATATCATGATACTTTGAATATTGCTTGGCCAGTGTTAGGCTTGTCAGCTCTGGGTTGGGAAGTACAAGGAGTTTTGGGGGATGGAGACTAGAGAGATCAGGGTTTGGGGAGGGACCTCGGCATGGTACAATGCCATAGAGTCCACCCTGCAAGGCAGCCATTTTCTGCCATGGAAGTGAACTTTGTAATCTGGCGATCAGTTGTGAAAGTGGGGATCTCCAGGCCCTACCTCGAAGTTGGCAACCCTAGTCAGCATGAAAACCGGAAAAAGACTGTGTACAAGATGCTAAATACAATAAGAACAATACTGCAAAATATCTGTATATTCTAATAATGGTATTATTACAAAAATATTCTCTAACAACAGTATTATTACAAAAAAGTGATGTTCTGTAACATGTACAATAGCATTTGCAATAAAGGTCCAAAGTCAAATGGAGTCTTCTAACGAAGTTTCTGGATAATATTTTCATTTCATAAACCTTCTTCAGAGGAGGATCATACATAACTGCAGTAATCATTGTTTCTTAGTATTTCATAAGAAAGTCTGTATACAGTTAACAAATCATTGTTCTTTAAACAAGAAAAGTTATTAGGTTTTGCAAGGCATATCAAGGATCTATTGATGGGCCACCTAGTACATCATAAGAAGCTCAGAGTTTTGGAATAATAACGTTGTTAGAGAATATTTTTGTAGTAATATCATTATTAGAATATACAGATATTTTGCAGTATTGTTCTTATTGTATTTAGTGTCTTTTTCCAGTTTTCATATAGTTTTGTGTCTGTAACCCTAGTCAGTATGCATCATCTCTGAATGATTAAGAAATATGCAGAATACCTGTTCATTAATAGGGTATTTCATACATTTTATTTGCTGATTTTACACATGTATCTGGTATCAACAACCCTCTAACACCCTGTTTTAAATAAATACATAATTTTTAACTGCCCCACAACTTTTCCAAAGGCCAAAAGGAAGGAAAAATCAGCATGAATACAGAGAGACAGAAAAAAGATAAGTTTAGGGAATAGGCCAGCCCAGAATTAATGGAAATATGCAGCCTTCAATACTGAAACAAATTGACAAACTTCTCCAATATAAAAATGAAAGACCCATTGAAAACCTGCTGTAGACGTTTTTCTCCTACTGTAATCTCAAATGCCATGTGTGGATTTTCAGCTTTCCTCTTGTAGTAGCAATTTATGCATCCCTGAGAAATTCCACAGAAAGGTTGGGGGCAGTACTGAGCAGCACCCCAGGAGAGATGAATGACAGATGCCAAAATAAATGATCAGCCATTCCCCAGTTGTTTGCAGAAGTGCTTTGTGTATGGATCTCTGGATCCTGACTACAGACTGCAAAGTCGTCTTACTCTAAAATGGTCAATTTTGCAATGCACTGAACAACAAATGGCCATTTTGTATTTATAAAACCTATCATATTAAATTGTGCCTTAGCATTGTTTTGAATAAATAATTATTAGCAATTAAAAATATTTCTATTAAAGAATCATTGTGCTAGTGGTGTACATGTATTACAAGATGGTGGTGAGAGATGGGTTTGAAGTCACACACTGAGCTTATAGATGAGCTGAAATTTGAAATAAATTTTTATAAATGTTATGTTTTGTCATACTGTATATAAATTATAGTAGTTGATTTGTGGGTATGTGCGAATGCCATATACATTTAATTTACAGTCAAAATATATTTCAGTCTCAACATAGCCATGACCTAAAAGTAAGAAAAGGTTACATTCTTTTTAGTTAGAATCATTATACTGATTGCACGGTCCATAGTTAAGTATACTGAAGTTTGTCTACCATTTCTCTATGTACAGCCAGAGGCTGGAACTCTTTTGTCACCAAGATTTTTTCCTAAAATGGCATCAAGATGCACAGAAAACTCTAGGAATGTTGCTCTGGTGAAAGACATACAAAAAGCAAATAAATAAATAAATAATAATTTAAAAAGACAATACAGGTGCAGTCAAAATATTTTTTTTGCTACTTTGAAACTAAAACTATTGATTCTAAATCAGATAACCTGTTTTCTGATTGCTGTTAATGTTCAGTTAATGTTGTCATCGTATTTGTTGGATTCTTTTTACATCATCTGTCTATCTTTTGAAAGAGCAGGAAACAAATTACATCATGTAAAGTAGGTTCTTTTTTCAGTCAGTGTTCAGGAAGAGGCAGTTCCTTGCCAAGGGAACAGTTAATTTCCTTAGAAGCTAGAAGTCAACTGCTGCCTTTACTCACGGTAATTACTAACTACCAATGACAGAATTTTCTTACTTAATATGGAGATTTTATATATTATTAAACCATTGTGAGTTGTTAAGAAAAAGTGACAAAAATTCTCAGGGACATAAAGTAAACAAACACGACATTATCAAGTTTTCCATTTGTTGGGTTGGATACGGATGATAATTTCCACTATAGAAGAGTGTGTGTGTGTGTGTGATTTTTGTGAATCTGCCCCCCCCCCCAGCAGACATTTGATTTGCTCCTCACTGTTTGTAGGGGTCCTTTGTCATCCAGGAGCAGTATTCCAGGGAGATTAGGAGCCAGGGGTAGGGGCAGCAGTTCCATTTCAGAGGTGCCTCCTGCCATCAGAATTTTTTCCTTTTTTACCACTGAAGCAAATCCAAAAAGCAAAGCTGAGAGATAACATTTCTTCCAATTGGAGTCTGACTCTTGTATTCTGTTTTATGTTAATGCATGCATCTATCAAATGAATCTACTTGCAATGCATAGACCTTGATTAGTAATTCATCTAATCCTCTAGGAAACTACTCTAGAATGTCTATAGTTCTGCACCTTGTTTCCCTGCACAGGTATCCAAGGCATCAGCAGATCTAATGTGCTATTGTGAGGAGCATGCTAGGAAGGATCCTTTACTAATGGGTATACCTGCTTCGGAAAACCCCTTCAAGGATAAAAAGACCTGTACAATCCTATAGGCAAAGTAGCAAGATGCCTTGAAGACCCTCCCTGTGAAACCAACCAAGCAGTTTCTTAGAGAAGTAACCTGAAGATCAAGTGGTACCAACTGCATAAAACAGCAATCCATTTACATTGTGTATCAATGAACTTTTAAGTTTTCTAAAAAGTTTCTTTTCTTTATAGTGCTCAATGTGGGGATGCAAGGTTAGAGTTACTTCCTGTAAAATGGAATGGTTCTAAGAGGATAATTGACCATTGGATTCTGTTGGCTTTTATGGGAAGATAAATGGGTGGGGTGGGTATTACTTTAAAGTGCAATGAGTGTTCACAGTTCAAGGTATTAGGTTGAACAATCAAGACCAAAGTTGCCTGAGCTTCATTTACAAAATAGTGAGGCAAAAGTAGAGTTGTAATCAAGCTTCCTTTACATTTTGATTTTATACTGGTGTCTATCTTTGTGTATGTAATTGGTGTCTCTATCTAGAGCATGTACGTATATTTGTTTGGGTATATATACACATTCCAAGTGCATTCTTTAACAAAATACACTCTTCAAAATTATCACATTTATTGATACACACAGTTCATATCTTTACCATCAAGTATGTCATAAGTATTTCACTGAAGAGTCTGAAGAGTCTATAGAATTATAGTTAGCATAAAGTTTTGTTTCCAAAATTATTTGAAAGATGTTAATAACCTTTGATTTTGTTTTTCATATTTGTTCTGCAGTTAATGTCCCAATTGCACACAGATTCTAAAAACAAGGTCTAAAGGAAAAATGTCTTATATGTTTCCATTGCTTCAAAGGGACCCTCTACCACCTATCTTCCCTATATATATGTTGTCTTGTCTGTAAGCATCCAGGCGTTTCTTGCTTTGATTAATAATTTCACATTTAAAAAATGCCAAATAATATCTTAAAGGAACTGGCAGGTGCTGAGCGCAGTCAGTTCATGGTGCTGTTGCTTCTATACAAGGCCTAATGGTGTTTTTTTTTTAAAAAAAATGGGGGTTGTGCTGAAAAAAATTATTGTGGGATAGAAGAAGGGTCAAGCAAATTCTTGGCAAATGTCAGCTTTATTAATATATTTGTGTGCACTTCATGCATTGATGGAATACAAGGTGGAAAGATACAATACTGACCTTTTCTAGACCATCAATATGTATTTGTATTCCATTTGTTGCCACTGCCAGCCCTTTAAGAGCTTTTAATTTTGTGGCCTGCCATATTTGCATTTATAGAATTTAAGTACCTTGTGACTGGCCTTGTAATAAATGTGTAGGGGTTCATAAGAGGGTAAGGAGCCTGACAGATATGTCTAGGTTCTTTTAGAAGAGCCCTGAGAGCATAAAGCGCAAAGTCAACAAGTGGCATTCCCTATTGGAGTCAGACTTCTCTTGTTAAGCACATGGTAGTTAAGTCCTGCTGCATTATAGACCGAATAAAACAAAAACCTCTCTTCACTGTGTCTGCAGGGAAGACCTGGCTACATAGCCAAGGTCCCTGCCCCACTCATTAGTTCTTTGTGTTGTACTAACTAAAACTTCTAGTCTATTTCTCTTTTAGTGCTACATAATTATAGGTTAAAAAGTCATTGATAATAAGAAATATTTGTACCTTGATGTCTCTAAAACTTGAAACCAACCAGCTGTGAGAAACCAACTAAATAATCTTAGCGTTTGCCCTTACTATCTCTAAAGTAGTTTTTAAGAATTAAAATATTTTTCTAATGGAAGCTTTGGGAACAATAAATAATTTCAAAACTTTGTTTATGGTAGTTCAGTCTGCCCTTTCATAATGAATGTACATTAAATAGTATTGTGAATCAAACATCCGTATGCAAACTACCCATTGACATCATTTTGCTTGCAGTTTGATGGCTGATTCACTTAGAATGAAGAAAGAATAGACAATAGAGATACATAATTGACTTGCATACTGATTGTAAACTCACTCACAAGAAAGCAAGGCCCGTGCATTTAAATAGAACAGGCTTCCCAGTAAGCATGCTTAGGATCACACGTTCAGCTGAAGCTGGTCTTTCTGACTTATTTTAAGATATTGGGCAGTTGTTTCATTTTTTCTGTGTGTGGTGCACGAGGGATGCTTTTCTAAAGGCTAACTCACACAAGTTATCATGTAATGACATCTGGAGCTGATTTTATTCTCTGTAGATTAGTAAGCGTTGAATCTGTCTTGTCAAACTCATCATGTAACTGAATCATGACTTTGTCTCATGAAAATCTTTGAAAAGTGTTTTAAACCAAAATGTGATCATTATAGACAGAATATTCAACCTGTGCAAATCACTAAAAAAACTGAAAATATATTGTTTATACCACATTTTAAAAATTATTGCCTTAAAGTTGTTGTTTAGAACATGGAAAGCATAGAATGTGTCGCCAGAAACATAAATCTCTGGCAGCAGGTTGGCCATCGCTGCTGCAAGTAATCTTCCCAGTGAAGAGATCCTAGATGGGCACAACTGCCGTGGTTGCTCCTTTGTGAGTCTGTTTGAGTCTGGCACACTCAGCCACCTTGAGCCCTGCTCAGTGGGGAAAGGAGAGGGATAGAAATTGAATAAATAAATTTATGCTGGTGGTAATTGCCTAGCATTAGCTCAAAAGCTGGAAAAATCCCAGGTGCCTTTTGCCTAAGTGTCTAAAAATGTGATGCTAGTTCCTAAAAAGCCAAAACTTTAATGCTTTTTCCAACCCTGACAGATTTTAGTCATTTGTCTATATTTTCAGTCCATTAGAACTTTGTTCTTAATATAGCGATTTTTACTCATCAAACTGATTCATCCTTCTAAAAAAATACAGTTCTTGTTAACATCAATTTGGTACTTGAATACAGAACTTAATACAATAATAAGAGTTCAGTGTCTGTGCACAGTTTTTTTAAATGACTGAATAAAAATATAGTTACATACAGCATTCTACAAGGCTGCATGCACTATAATCAGCAAATGCTGCTGTGTATGCTTTATTATAGAATAAATCTGAACACATTCTGTTGTCATTAATGGATTTATAGCTTCCTGATTTCCATTTACCCAACACTTCACTTGCTATCAGTAGTTCATATTCATCAGCCTTGAAATCAGAACACACCTGGTTGTCACAGGGCAGTTACAATCTCTGTAAATTGTCTTCAGATTATTAGGTATCCAAATATGGGCAGCTTTGCCACTCTATAAACACAGCATACAAGTTAAAGCCAGTGTTAGCACTTATTGACCTAGGCAGCTGAATGATAGTTCCAAAAGGACCCCACCTTAGATAACCGTGTTTTCTAGAAGGAAAACCTTGGACTGACTGTGGAATGATTCAAGGAGAGAGAGAGGAAGCCCACTAGGGTTGCTTTCAACCAACCAATGTCCTCTCTAATAGCTCCTCTCTGCTCTGTGTATCGCTACAGGTATGGGCCTCTAGTGCTGTTATAACCTTAAGTGTATTTTAAAACCTGATTCGAGTATTTGACCGGTTCTTGTGTTGCAGTACCAGGTGCAATAGATTGGATCCATGCATGTCTTTCCATGTGCAGAATCCATTCACAGTGTAGTGTTGCATCATAAAATATAAACTAAATCCAAGTTTAACTTTGGTCTTCTGTGCAGTCCCACATTGGGACTGGGCATGCATAGGCCAGCCATGGGGAATAATTTTCTAACTTTAAAGCACTAGAGGGTTGTCCCTCCCACAGCATTCTCCTGCCGAAACTGTCATGTGCCATTAGAAAAGAATGCCCCTTTCCTTCAGTTCTCTCTTTGCTACCAGCAAGAGAAAAGCCTGGTGTCTCATTCATTATTTCTCCTCAAACTGTTCATAGCTTTCTGATTACTGGAAAGAAATATGTTTAAAAAGAAAAGAAATAATCATAGAAAGCTTTATTTAAACTGTGGCATGAAAATTACTTAGATGATAACTCTGTCTGCTGTGCCTTGGGGAGTCCCATATAACACATCTACTTGCTGCCTCTATCAGCAGTTCACTCTTAAAGCTCATCGTGATAGAGCCTCCAGATTTCTGTTGCCTTGGTTCCATCAGTTCCAGCCTCGAATTGCCTTGGCACTGATTCCAATAACAATTGCTGCTCACAGAGGTTTGTCAGAACCTTCACTGAAAAGGCAAGGACACAGTTTAAGTACAGGGATATGTCCCTCTTGTTTCTGGCCCCACCTAAGCATGAAAGCATAGATTAGATGCTTAGATTCCAGCTCCCGTCATCTTGGAACCTGTCTGTTCGGAGGATTTCAGTTCCAGTTCATCCTGGGTACCATCTCCACACCTGCATGTACAGGAGATCCTATGTCTGAGGATGAGATCAATCAGAAAGTCACCACCTTACACTCAACACCAGCTAAAAACTGTTTTGTTTCTTCATAATCTCCTCAGTACATGGCCTGCAACTTTACCACTGGTTCCACGGCAACTGTACTCATATTTTCCTTTTCCTGTGTATGAAACTGGGGAGATTATTCTTGTCCCATGCCACAAGTGGTTCCATCATCTTCCACCTCAGTAGGTTTGAGGTCATCCACTGGTTTGAATCCTGATTCTGTTCCACAACTATCTTCATGCCTCCCAAGATGCTTCGGTAAAGGATGATGATGTTCCCTGATCTGAATGTAGTTCTCAGTTTCCTTTGGTTCTATCACGAGATGCTTCTGTGTGTGTGGGGTGTGTGTGTGTGTGTGTGTGTGTGTGGTCCTACTCCTATATTGTTACATGTAAATATCAGACTGTATCTGATGTTGTCAATGACAAAATCTTTGGCAAAAGATGTGATTTCCCTTGATCCAAAGCTTCAAGGGTAAGATCTTTAGAGCCTTATATTCAGATACTCTTGTTCTGTAGTCTTTCCTACATTAGAGGGATTCATAGATATTTCATTCCATTTGGGAAAAGGCTGCTTCTGCCCCTGCCACTTCACACAAAATTGAGAACCTGCACAAAGTGAGGCAGGATTGCTGCACTTTTCTATTTCCCTACCCAACTGCATCATCTTTGGTGGCTAATCAGATGCCGACAATGGTCACACTCTTCCCCAGTGGACAGAGAGGACCACAAGTTAGATGCTGTTGGGTTAAAGATATATGCATCATTGGC